CCGTTTAGCAATTTTATACATTTTGAACCTGATATGTCTGTTTGCTTCCAGATTTCATTAACACAAGGCTTTAGATAATTTTCAATATAATACTTATGACATACAGTCTCGCCATTATCTACATTATGTATAAAAACAGAACCATTTGATTTAAAGAATATACGAAACAAACTTTTGGTTCAAAGCTGTCTCTGTGAACAACAGTCTTTGCTGATTCATCTTCACTAATCCAGCTAGCATCACATGACTTACTACCAACCTGTCTAAAATCAATTCATATCTCATCATTCATAGTGCTAGACTTCAACTGACATGATCTTTGCTAAATTTTAAGATAAATTCTTGAAACTAACCAGGCAAATGAAATATGATGTGTTCTTGTGGTTTCCAAGGTAACTAGAACTTTTTTCGAACAAGAGTTCAAAAAAGCTTGTAATAAATTATTAGAAAGGATTGAACTTCCGATACATAATCATAACAATTATCATGGACATTTGATGCAATAAAATTGAAAATATCTTCTTAGCTTTATATTTTTATTCAACGATCCCAGAACTTTTGGTCAGCCTTAAGTAGTATCTTTATGTATGGAGTAGTACACTTCAGCTAGTAGCAGTTTTGTTTTTCCTTTGTGCGACTCTGTGAAGAACGTTTTGACATTGCATGGACCCAAAACTGTAGCTTTTTACTCACGTATGTAGAACACTGAGAAGTTAGAACATTTTTGTTTTATGAAATAGTCATAAAATATATAGTCACTACGACCGTTTCATCGGTATTAACTGTCAACAATCCAGTATATGACTGTCGAGATTATTCCAATTCAAGCCGCTTTTATGATGCATTCGATCTGAGAGTATACCCGTGTAAAAAGAAACGCAAAAAATCTGATTAAAATCTATTTTTCAAAAAAACTCATAAAAAATCGATTAAAAGTGCCAATTTTTGATTAAATTCTAAATAATAACCGATTATAATCGATTTTTCTTTGACAAAATCAATTAGTATCGATTTTTTGACAGAAAATCCGAATAATCGATTATTTACGTTTCTAATCGATTTTAACTGATCAGAAGATGTAATTCCGCAATCTCAATCAAAACAATTTAAATACCAGTTCCAAATTTACTATTTTTGTGGAGCTGAAGCCCTATGATAATTTCGAGATGAGTAATCGAAAAAAAACATTAAAAAATAGGATTTTATGTTCGAATCTCGGGGAAAAGACCTTATTTTCGATGTTAATGATTAAAATCGATTACCCGATACAAATCAATTAAAACTAGATACAAGGTAAGAACTGATTAAAATCGAATGTCACATCAGAATCGATATAAATCCATTAGGAAATAATAATTGATGAGAATCAATTCGAACATATCGATGTAAAAAAATCCCGGGAAAATCAGATTTTAATCGATTTTCTCTGATTAAAAATCTGATTTTTCCCGGATTTTTTTTACATGGGTAGTAGATAGTTTCAGTTCGAAGTTTATCTTGAGGCTTATGTATGTCCGATATATGTTGATTGTCTCAACATAGAGAAAATGGGTCACTGGATCATATAGAATGATCGAGTGTGGATGTGATTACTGATCTTTGTTTCAACAACAATCACATCTACACGTCCCGCAGTCCTCTTAAGAAAACAACAGTCTTTTGCGCTAAAATATTTAGAACATTCTAATGATAATAAGACTTATTTATGAACGAGGAGGAAAACAAAATTGTTTCAGTTGCTTTTTCCACTAATGTCTTATGAAAGACTGAAATCTTAATCAAGTGAAAATAAATCCCAAAGAATGAGCTCAAAAACTTCTTAATGCGCTGTCGTCGTTTCTTGTAAGAAAAACAGTATCGAAAAGAAAGAATGCATAAAGATACAAATTTGGTAATAAATGGAAACTTGAATATGCACAATAATGATGTATTTAACTAAATACATCTAAATGTGAAAAACAGTGAGATCATTTTGATTATCAGCTACTCTCTTATGACTATCTTTTGTCCAACGGAGCGTACAAAAATAAAGCAAATCAATATTTGGTGTTTAATGTAGATCACTTCTGAAAACCTTATAGGGGGAAACGTTGGATAAAGTAATAATGTTTCTATTCACTTTAGGACAATTTATTCAAAAACGGTCTCATTTTTTCGGTACATCTAAACATTTTTATCAATGTTAAGGCTGAGATATCTATAATACGGCATGCACATCAGACAATTCTGTGTACATAATAAAACTATTTTAAATTCTCCACCCGAACTTCACGTAGAAAATACCTTTATTGAAGAAATTCTCCTATTAATTGTACACGCTTATCTTTCTTTGATAATAGCCCAAACATATATGGTCAATGCGACGACTTGGTCGATGTGGACTTACGATAGTCCAGTATATTTTCCTCCGCATGATACAAACTCAAGCCACTTTTATGATACATTCGACTTGGTAGTAACGATGGCTGGCTTTTACGTCATCGGTAGTAATAGTTCAATTAATACCGTTGGCTACTTGTATAATGGTAATTTCATTCCAAATTCTCCTTTTTGGAATGTAATAGTTTCTAATGATGATGGTAATGTGAATCGACAATTTCAATTCAACGTGTATCTTGAACCCTATTTTCGATATACTTTGGTTGTTACAACATTTAGTGGAAACATCATGGGTCCATACACTGTAATAGCTTCTGGACCAGTACGAGCATATGTTGTACGAACCACGATGACAGTAACGACAGAAACAGCCACAACGCCAAGATACGTTAACTATACTGAAACAACGCGTAAGTGAATAGAGTTAGTTTGTACCCTACTATCGGTCCACATCAGTGGCATGGAAACCATCCTCGTTACATTTCGTTCACTAACATAAATTTTATGGCAGATTTTTCTTGTTATAAGCAAATATTTTAATTGATAGTTTGGTAGAAGAGAGAACCGATGTACCTGGAAAATAAGAAAAATATTAAAAACATATGCACCTGAATAATCATTTTGATTAGCAGCAATGTTATGGTCTATGACGAACTCTTTTCGAGGAGAACGCATGAAAATGAAATAATCAATGTTTGGTGTTTAGCACGCATCATCATGGAAAGATTAATAGAAAAAACTTCGGAAGTAGAAGCAGTATTGCATATGAGTAAAAGATCATTTATTTAAGAAAAGCGCAACGCTTTCAGGAGATTGAAACTTTTTGCAATTACTTCGACTACGATAGCTAACATACCGATGTGTACAAAACCTGCTTATGAACTCATCATAAAAATTTTCTAAATTTTTCTCGGAATTTTAACAATAAGGTATCTTTTTCGAAAGCATTTTCTTGTACATTTGACCTACTTTTTTAACTATAGCTAATATATATATGGTTAATACGGCTGCTTGGTCGACATGGACTCAGTATAGTCCAATATATGCTCGCCCGTTTGGTTCAAACTCAAGTTACTACTACTATTATGATACATTCGATGTAACGGCAACGGTAGCTGGTTTTTACACTATCATTAGTAATAGTACTATTGATACTTATGGTTACTTGTACAATGGCAGCTTCTTTTCAACTTATCCATTTTGGTATTTAGCAGCATATGATGATGATGGTGCTGGAAATCGGCAGTTTCGAATCAATGTGTATCTTGAGCCGTATATGAGATACGTTTTGGTTGCTACAACATTTAGTGAAAAGACCACCGGACATTACACTGTGATAGTATCAGGTCCAGCACGAGTGTATATTCTTCGAACAACTACTGAATCGATGCCAAATAACAGTACATCAATGAGTAAGGCACAACATTACATAGTGTCCATTAGAATGTCTATGCATGTTCATTTGAGAATTTGGGTTTGAAATTGTTTTTTTTTCAGAATGACTATAAAGAAAATCTTGTATTCACAATGGATAGATGCTTCTTAAGTATCGTTGCAAACAATACGAAATCCTACTCAGTAGCAAGAAATATGATTTGTAGTTGTCTTAATACATCTTTAACATATATATTCGTTGAATCACATATGTCGCGTAATTTCACAAAATGAGAAAATTTCTATTGATCGGGAGACATACTTGCTATCAAGCTAAGAAAGATTATTAAGATGTATCCTATATTATAGAGTTGATCCATATGTATGTGAATCGCTAATGTGAGATGGAATTAAACAGAGCGATACAAGATAATATTCTCTAGAAGTATCCGTAAGCGAATTATCGAATTAGTCAGTGTTTGCAAGCTTTGTCTGTCATCTTTGTCGATTTGACTACAAGATGAAGTTCGATCACATCTATTTAGTTCTTAAGCGTCAGTTGAGAGTTTTCTTAACATCCAGTCTATCATATTACCTCTATCACTGCTTCATATAGTTGTTATTCCTGATTGAAGTTGAGGTTACTGCAAAATATATTTTTGATTTTGAACTTTTGTATTGAATTCGTATTTATCATAGTTTTTCTACTGACTGTAGTCTTTGACTGATGGACTGCTTGTGCCATTAGAGTTCAATTTAATGCTATTGTTCTTTTTTTATGACACAAAACGTTTCACTATTAGAAGGATTTTACGTTTCTTTCGTAATTTTGACGTCCTAAGCATCAATGTTTTCCAAATTTGTTGCATCCAATCTAACGAAACATTTAGACTTTGTTATAGCGAGCTACGCAGACATGTTGACAACCAACAGCCCTGTATTTTATCGAATAAATGGCTATGATTTATGTTACTTTCAAGCAATTCAAGTGACCGTACCTATCTCCGGTTCATACAGCTTTAAAAGCGATAGCTTTCTTGATGCTTATGGTTATTTGTATGCGAACACTTTCGATCCATCAAACCCGAAAGCTAATGTATTGATCGAAGATGATGACACTGGTGGTTATCAACAATTTCTTATAAACTATTGGATGCAATATGGCTACACATATGTCTTAGTTTTCACAACGTACAGTCCAAGAGTGACAGGAACCTTCTCAATTGTTGCATCGGGTCCAGCAAGAGTCAATCTTAAGTATCTTCACGTCATGCCACTATCAACAACTACTGTATTTAGTGAGTAAACTTAAAGAACATAAGTATCGATTTGTAAACCTGGAACGATTTCATATAGGACCAATGTAAAGATAATAGTGTCATGATGAGTGGAGCTAACTCGCCTGTGAGATCTTAGTAAGATTTTCATTGGAAATTCATAGACACAAATTGATCTATTCTGTGTACTAAAGCGATTTTATTGAGTATAAATTACGGTTTTTTTCCCACCTCAATGCTTTTTAGTCTCTATCTTCCATTAAAATTCGAGTTTCTACGGCGGTTGAAAGAAATGAAAGCTTATCATATTATTATCAGCAATAGAAAGACGATGATTAATGGTACTATCATACAAAGTAATATGTCCTTTACAGTGGCATAGCTTGAGAAAGTACTACCTATAAGGTTTGCCCAATGCCACTATACTACAGAAAAATTGAATATCCATCATCATAATTTAATTGAATACATTGGTTCTTGGTATGAATCATTAACTAGCATTTAGAACTCATATTCACAAAGGAGACTTCAAATAAGAATAATTTCAGATATAACGTTTGACTTCGATAAAACAACAACTATCATACTCCACAACATATAGAGACGTTGTCCTTGAGGAATGTGCTTTGCCCATGTATGCAAATTTCGAGCGATATTAATTAAACCAATTTGAATATCTAAAACAGATATGAGATGCAAACATCGGTATCTTTACTATTGATCAAACATTTGTAGACAAAAACTCGATGGCTTCTTTATTTTTACTTATTAGAATTGAAAAACCCGTCCTTTGCCATTTATGAAAACAATAACTTCGTGTCTCAAATTATTGATTTTCCATAGTTATTAAATAATAATCGAGCTAACTAATATGATCAAAATAAGACGGTGATGTTTATAACTAACTGCTAAGTAAATTCTAGCTAAAACGAAAATGAATATCAGACATGATGTAACACTTGACTCATTTAAAAATTATTCTTCTTAATTTATTGTGTCGATATTCGAATACAGCATTATTGAAATACGAAAGTAACAATCGATTGACCGTAGCACTTAACTAATAGAAAACCAGTGTGAATAAGTTAAGTGATAACTGGAATCTACAGAACAAAGTCTTTTCCAAATTTCCCATATCAGATGCTAATTATTTTTAAATTGTAGTTAAATAGATCGCTGTTTGATACATAGTTAGTTTTCTTGTTAATATTTACAGCTTCTACAGCAAGTGTTCGCAATAGCAAGATGGCTAACGTTGTGGGTCTAGCTATCAGTATGCTTATAATGGTTGTTTCCTGTCATGATCGCCACACCATCATGTAATATTTCAATACAAGTACAAAGTTCTTTATATTACACGTGTCTCATATGCATCAAAGCACGAACAACTTTATTTTTCATAGTTGAAGAAATCTTATTTATCATTTTCTCTCTTTTTGCTTTTTAATGGAGTTTCAGCTATTGTTCTACCTTAATATCATATTCATTTCAGAATAAATACTATCGACTTATTTCCAACCGCGTAAATGTCTTGATCGATGCTAGTCACTTGTTTATTCAAAATGAAAGCAGTATGTATTCTAATGAATTAATATGGATAATTCAAAATATCCATGGAATGAAAATTTTTGGAGCTACTGTAAATTACACTTACCATTGCATGTTGTTCGTTTTTTCAAGATTTCCATTCTTTTTTTTGCCCTATTATTCATTAATTCATATAAATTTGATATGTTTCTAAACTGTTTGAAATAAAAGAATTGATAAATTTTTGATGGATTTAATTGTGAAAAATATGTTTGAGAGTAACGAAGGGTGTTACTGCTGACGAATTTCTAGATAATAATTATTTTTTTAAATCTGCCCTAAATTATTTATGAACTAGATAACCAACAACATTTAATACATAACCATTATCACAGTGGATATATCTTGACTGAGTTGTGCAAGTATGTTGTTTTAAATCAAGAAAAGATTGTTCACAAATTTTATATGATGCTTTATTAACTTTTGTGAAGTATCCAATGCTAGAATATAGACAATATCTAAAGCGAGATATTATTTGATGTTATATGATCTATGATTGACATTAGTTTTCCCAGTGTTTAGTATTTGATTAAGTGTTTCGGTTGCTTTTCAGTCTTGCTATATAAGTACGTAGAACGACATTGTTTACAATTACTGATAAGTTTAATCGGATCGAGGATGAAGATGGATTGTGGATGCCAGTAGGTGTTGGATGTGCCTGTTCGTATGAGTGTGCCTGTTGTGACCATGGTCCGACTAGAATCACACCCACATCCTTTGTGGAAATCTAAATATGCTTCGAAAACAGATGTGTACTCAGTTAGGGTGTGGGTGTGGGTATAGGATGTCGGTGTGGATGTGGCCTGTGGCTCTACGAACACACCCCAACATGCACACCCACACCCACACCCTGAACTTCGGAAAGGAAAGAAAAAAAACGATACTTGACGTGTTGAGTGGCGGTGTGGTAAATAGAATAAGACAAAATATTTAATTCCATCACTTACGTAGAAAAACTAGACAGGTTTAGAAAATCGACCTATGCGTGGTGCACTCGGCACAATTTGAAGCGCCACTATTAATAGAGTTTTGAATATAGAGTCGCTTTAACAACTTCTCTGTATTCAGTTTTTGATGCTGAATCTGAAAAAGTTATTTTCAGAAGCTGAAGAAAAAGAACAAAGTAGTAAATTTTGCACATTTTTAAAACGATATGTTTTTCGAAGAAAACGACACCTTTTGAGTATTTCGTATTTTTGACCGGAAATAAGCATTTGCTAAGGCTAAAAAGTAGATTTTCATGATCAGCAGCTCACACTCTATCAAATGATGTAAAAAAAAACGTAAAAAAGTTTTTACTTGATATTCGAATTGCCGGCACCATACTCATTTATGTAGAATGCTGCTTATTAATAGAATATGGACAGTTTTTGTTAACTGTGCTAGCGAAGAAAAATGAAATAAAAGTTTAGTAACAAAAAAACTTGCTTAAATAACCTTTTAGACAAATTATTTTTTAGCGATATAAGAGAAGACGTTCCTTGTAACTTGTGAACAATAAGACCAAATAGAGGCTGCTGGATCTTCTAATATGTCGACGGCTTTAGTAGAAAATTTCAGATCAATCCATTGATTTATCTAGTTTTTATTGACGCTACCATCACAAAATAATGCTTTTCATTCTGCTAAATGTGTCCAATAATCAGACACTTTTGCAAACTGTTGTATGCCTGTTCTCAGTTAAAATTTATGTTATGATTTATCGCTCAATAGAGCTGCTTGTGCTATACGTAAGATGTTTTTTTGATTCTAACTTTCGTGTGAATAGGACTAAAAAATAAATGAGATAAAATCAATCTATCAGTATACGTAACTTTTTTTCCCATCATATAAAGAATAAAATGACATCAAATTGTACAGTAAAAGGTAGCTCAAGCGAGATTTGGTGCTTTTTTGGCATGGTCTAATCGAATTTTTGAGATGGTGTGCCTTTTTAGGCTAAACACTTGTCTGAAAATATCATATGCACATATTTTGAGCTGTATTTATTAGATGCAGTTTTCCACGGAGAATCGAATGAGCAGTTTCTAAAACCCTGTACAGAATATTACTGATGGAAAATTGACTATCTTTTTTTCATATAAAAAGCATGAAAAATGCGACTTTTTGTAAATTTGTTAAATAGCCTTTTGTAAATTTTATTCCAAAAGGAAGATTTAAAAAAAAATTCATTGTCAGAGCTCCACGAGCTCTATTGAGCCATATAAAAATATCGAAGAAAACAATTTTAGTCGATTTTTGAATAAGCCGCACTTTGTTTTATTGAAAACTATGAATAATCATGAAAAGATAGTTTCATTCAAAAATTGTTCTCTGTTTCTTCCTAGAAGTGATCTCTCATGATTATATCTTAGTGAATCTATTCAGCACCAAACGAACAGGAAAATATTTTATTATTGTGTTTTCATGCATTTCAAACAGTACATTAAATATTTGTGAAATAGATTATAATGAGAAAAACGTACGATGGATGGGTGTGGGTGTTGATCTTCTCTTCAGCTACACCCACACCGACACTCACACCCATCAACACCCCACACCCACACCTCACACACCCACACTCCCACACTCCACACACACACTCTAATTAAAGAGAGCTCAATTTCGACCGATTCTTTCAAACAAAAAAAAACGTATGCATGAATCAGGCCAGTGATTTATTGCTATTTTCATATACTAAAAAAAAAGACTTAAATGTTTTTCTGAGCCCTGTTCGGTGAGGACAATATCCAGAACCCAGAGACACTGACAGAGTCGTGAAAACACAACAGACCGAGTTAATCTCCGTATCTCTGTAAAGTGATGGTGACACGGCTTTGTCTATAGTGTATGGCCGTGGCTCACGTCCTAGTCCGAACGTGTTTCTGACCACGCGCGCGCACGAACGAAGAGAATAGAAAGTGAACAAAAAAATTCGTTTGATTACAATTGTTTAATAGCTAACTATAAAACAAAACCGGTAAAACAATTAGTAACAGAATTTAATACGATTATCCTGTCGTTGTAATTGTTGCTGAAGTGACGAAGAAATGTTGTTGTCGTCGAGATACAATACCTTGAGTGTCTGTGAATAGAGAAGAAGATAGATATGAGCGAGAGATGAAGAAAAAATGAGGATCACCTTGTTATCTCGTAATGCATTAGCAAGTTCTTGGGCTCCAGCAGCTCCGATTTGGTTGCTGAAAAGGTTCACCTCGGTGAGCGTCTGTGAATAGAGAGGAAGATAGATATGAGAAAGATGAAGAGGAAATGAGGATCACCTTGTTCTCTCGTAATACATCAGCAAGATATTGGGCTCCAGCATCTTCGATTTCATTGGCGTCAAGGTTCAGATAGGTGAGTGTCTGTTAATAGAAGGAAAGATAGATATGAGAGAGATGAAGAGGAAATGAAGATCACCTTGTTATCTCGTAATACATCAGCGAGATATTGGGCTCCAGCA